AGTGTATTTTTTATTTAATGATTTACTTCTTTTTTCAAATTGGTAACCTGACTTTTCATGGCTCTAAAGTCAGCTATAATCACTAGTACACATTTCTATATTTCCGTATATTATAGCTCAACTATTCCCATTGTTTAACAATCACAGAGCACATGACCAGCCAGAGATGCTGTCATAGCCCGTTTGTTAAATCTCACTCTTGCTGATCCAAAAAGGCTACAGGATAACTGTTGGAGTGTGAAAGTCGAGTCATGTGGCTGCACTGTCTCGAAGTCATGTGATTCCAAGTTCTTATGGTGAGGGAGCTTTGTTATCCTGTTGAATGATTCTCCCCCCCACCACCCCTCTCAAGTCACCAACCGTACACGTTCTGCCTGTGATAGCATTTCGTTCAAACAAGAACCTCTTTAAAGAAATCAGTTTATAATGAAAATATGTTGCTCCATTTCTCCAGTACAGTCCCCTCAGTTCTTCTTCCTCCCTCCTCCTATCTTTATTTTTCAGGCTATCAGTCAATCTCAAAAGCAAAATCTGTCTTAATTGGCTCCAGAGGGCTCTTGGAGGCTTTGTGTCAACGGTGATGAGGGTCCTGATTGGTCCAGAGGCTCAGGCAGCCAAGAAACCCTTGTTAGTGTGTCGGGGCCCTTTGCTTGCTCGTTAGTCCGATGAACTCATTTACTGATGGGGGGTGACAAGGCCTCGTTTACCGGGTTGGAACAGTGGGTGGGGGTGGGGTGGGGGTGTTAAGGCGCAGGGGTAGGAGACGAACAAGAATATGGGCAAGGAAATAGTTAAGGAAGAGAGTAGGATTATTAGAGTAGTAGGATCTGTGTGGATGCACACAGAGAAATCAAGAAGCAATTTAAATGTCAGCTTGTGTTTGGCTGTGCTTTCTTTCTCATTAGCTCCTGCACAAAAAGCATTTTCAGTGTCCCTCTCCACTGAAACTCTGTAATTCTCTCACTTGAATGAGCAAAGAATCAAGCATCATAACACTTTTGTAGTTATGTTTTTGTCATTTTTTGGGATATTTAAGTAAAATGGGATTCTTCTGTAGTAATCAGAGTGTAGACAATCTGCAATCTCCATAGTCCTCCATTGTTTGCATGTTTAGTCATTTTGTGACACATGGAGTAGTAAGAGGTTAGCAGGTTCTTCCAAAGGAAAAAGCAGGAAGCAGTTCTACATGCTGTTTTGTCCACAGGTTTTTTTTTTTTTTCCTTCTTTATGAATTCTATCAAGTTCTCCCAATACTGCTTGTCCCTCGTCTCCGTTTTTGATGTTGATGGATCACCTCTCTTCCTCCCGCTCATTAATTTCATCACCTTATCTCCCACACCACTTCATTTGACCAAAAGGTAATAATAAATCCCTCATCCATTATCCTTTAACCAAGGCAGCCATGCGGAAATGCTTAATAACAGGCAACAAATTGAACTTCAATCACTTCAATTTCCTTCAAGGATGCACGGCACATTAAACCCCATCGTGCAAATATGCATACACCACTTATCAAAGACTGTTTACGGGTAACATTCAACCCCTCAAAAACAACTCTGGTGGTGCTAGAATGAGACTCTTCTTCACATTTTATGAAAAATAAGGATTATTAGGAATTGGCAGAGGCTTCTTTCCCTTCAACTCGAGGGTCTTATCAGCCCAAAAACACACACACCCTCAGTCTGGTAATAGCAGAGCCGGTTGAGAGGCTCATCTATCTTTAACCACACTGCTGATAGTTGGTCTGTTACTCTACTTACTCTTTCCTAACTCGGTGTAATTTCAATTCAATTTCACCTGTGTCTCCATGTTCCTTCACTTGACTTTAGCCATGTTTCTGAAGGTAGAGGAGGCTGTGTTGGTGCAGGAGCTGGTGATGGAGAAGGTTCACTGGCAAAGGCTGTCTTCCAGATTCAGCACTGACAGTTTTTGCATGCGTGTGCGGTTACACACCCTAGCCACAGTCACCCGGCCCCTCTTCATGTGTCCCTCTTCATTCCGCAGTCTTTTGGGCATCTGACAAAGACAAACGACAGTGCCTCAGAAATGAGCAGCAGCGCCAGGCGCACAAACTGGTCGAAAGAGGAGAGATGGGGAGAGAGAGAGAGAGAGAGAGTGAGAGAGAGAGCGAGCGAGCATTGCAATCAAGACCAGTTCCTTTGTTTTCTGTTTGGCTGTGTCCTCCCGCGTGACGCTTTGAAATTGATCTCGGGACGCAGCAGACCTGAATCCATGGATAATGTTCCAGTTGAAATGACACATCAATAAAATTGTGCTTTATACTCAACCAATCATGTTGACATATAAGCGCCTGATCCATTTTATGTTCCCTTTATGGAACCAGCCATCCTACTCTCAACCTCCAGACTTTCAAAATTTATTTTTGACCATTTTCAAACTTAACAACCCTTTTTTTTTTTTTTTTTCCCCGATAGTAAAATATAAATCCAATCCAAAACCTTCAGTTTTTTTATTCTGCTATTGCCTCTGTAGCATTTTCATCTCTTTCAGCTTGACTGATCCAGCTCCACTATCACTATTTATCACAGAGGAAGTCGGTGCAGCCATAATTCCAGCTCGGACAATAACCTCCTCGCCGTTGTAATTTGTCCAGACGTGGTCGGAGCAGCAGGAGCATTACAGCGCGGATAGTTTGTCTTGCACCTTGTCACCCGCTCAGCTTTTTCATCTGCAAGGGAAAAGGGCGCCACAGATAGGGACAATGATCTCAGGAACAGGGAGTGCTATTTACAGCGTTCCAGGAGATTCATCGGTCCAGGGAAATATATGATATCTAGCTGCCTCGGCCTCTGTCACATCTATCTGTGGAATCAGAGACTGCAACTCTATCAGTTCAAGCCCGAGCATCATGTTGACACCCATCCGGAGCTTCATGAGTGTACTCCTAGGGGATGAAATGAGTCAACGTCTCCCTTTTCTAAGGTTAAAGGTTATGCTTCAAGCGTTCACTCACATACACCTAAAAACAAGAAGAAAAACGAGAAGTGTTCAAGTGTTTAACTAGGTAACTAATTACAGATTTAAGCTTGTTTGCCAGTAAAATTCAATGTCTGAACTTGTAACAAGACTGCTGATGAGAAGCTGTGCTCAACAATATCACTGTCTGTTTATATGTACAAATTACAACTAAAAAAAGTAGTGTTTCAATTTAAAATTCCTCGAAAACGTTCGATACAAACCTTTTTTTATCATCAAAAGAGAATAGATTAAAAGAATAGTTTTACTCCTAAAAACAGATCTCATAATAAAACGATGTTCAAAACTGACATGTATCTAAATTGATTGTCACACTTAAGAAACTAGAGCTTGACTGAAGCTTTGATGACTGAATTGCCGCGTTTCTATATTCATAAAAAGCTAAGAAACAAGCCTGTCCTAGAACCTACCACCTCTTTAAACTAAAATTAATGATTTTTATTTTGATATGTTGAGTCTGTGTACTTTTATCTAAATATTGTGTGTAACTACCATTCTTCTAATTAAAGTTTAATAGGCTCTAGATGTAGAGGTAAATCTTGTGAATCTGCTTCTTCTTCCGATTTCTTGGCGATTGTTGGCTTAGGCGATTGATACACCACCATCGTCGAACCAAGAAGCCAAGAAGCAAGCCTCTGACAACGGTTGACTTACTTAGTAGAGGATTGGAAATAAGAACAACAGCTAGCTTACAGTAGCATGATACAAAAGTTTACGCAATCTGCTCCCAGCCCACTGTGAGCTCACTTATCAACATCTTATAACACATTGTTTCATTTGTGCAAGAACGGAAGTGTAAAAAATAGATTTCTCCTTTTTTTTGTTTGTCTGTGCTGTCTTCACAATGGCATTGGCTAAACGTTGATGTGACCGGTGCAGTCATCTTTGAGCTCCTGATAAGGTAGACAAGAGGCTGGTGGATGCAGCACCAGGCAGCTTCTCCAAGCCTCTAATCCACATTTAATTGAACTCCAGAGACTTTGAAGTGGGTCTGCGATGCAGGCAGGTCTTATTCCTCATGGAGACAGCGAGGGAGGAGACTGTCCTCAGCTGGTTGCCAAAGACCTCAGCTGGTCCCCTCTGCAGTCCCCTGCTTTTAATGAGCTCCTTTAACACAAGACCGAGCTTGCTAGCTGACATTTGAATATTTTTTTTATATATGATTAATAACTCCGCCTCTGAACCATGCTGTGACAACCTTAAAAGCATCCTTTTTTACCTTTCCAGCATATCCCTGTACGCCCCCTGTCAGATGACACATCTGAAAGTATAAGCAGAGGTGGAAATAGAAGCCTGGTTAACAAAGCGGTGCTAAGTAGGTTAGCAGCAAATCTAAACGTTGGATTAGTAGGAGTATAAAGCGCAGGGACAGGGCAGAGCATGTGTGTCTGTCAGGCACATGGCAGCTATTAGAAAGAATTTGCCTACACAGGAGGGACTGATTGAGATCAGTTTATAGCAACATTTCTAAATCTCAAGCTGGTCGAACTTAATAGTTTAACCTTTGAGGCGGTTACCTCCATGGACAGGCAGAAAAGTTTTCAAGCATCTATTTCACTTGATAAGAAAAAAGGCTCTTAACCTAGTCCTTGTCGTATTAAAGCAGATTTCATTTGAAAATCAAAACTTTATTCACTTGTTTCTTCTAAATATTCTAATTTTCAGATATTCCTTGTCACCTGTATGCTGTAATATTGATTATCTTTTAGTGAACTGAACATGTCCTGTTCTACCTCCAGCTGAATAGGGCCCATTCTCTTCCTAAAGGAATTCCTTTTTCATTGAAGCTGATCAATATAACACATTAATCGTGCTGTTCAGGCCGACACTGTGAAAAATGAACAAACCGGGCTTTACTGTCTGCTCCTCTTCCCCGCCCCTTCCATCGCTCCGTTTTTCTCTGATCTTTTCTTTCTTACTGAATATTTCCTTTCCTTATCCCATTTGCATATTCCTATTGAATTCACACCCTCTACCCTCTCTCTCTTTCCCCTGTTTTCCAGATCCTAGCCTATACAGAGGGACTTCATGGAAAATGGCTGTTCACCGAGGTCCGTGCAGTCTTTTCCAGACGTTACCTCCTGCAGAACACCGCTCTGGAAATCTTCATGGCCAACCGAAGTACGACAGCTTCTGTTAATTACCCATATGTCACCATTTCACCTATTTATTTTAACCCTGATTGATAAACATACACATATTTTGGTGTTTCTTATATGAAACATTCAGGGAGTCATGAGTTAAGAGTTGAGTTAGTTTGTCTTATAAGGAATATAAACATGTTTGGTGATGTAGCTACATGCTTTTTTTTCCCTCCCACTCTTTAGCTGCAGTCATGCTCAACTTCCCAGATGCAGCCACGGTCAAGAAGGTGGTCCACAGTCTTCCTCGTGTTGGGGTGGGCACGAACTTTGGTCTTCCACAGACCAGGTGAGACACAAAAAAAAAAGCACAAAGTAACTCCTTTCATGTGACATATTTGGTAGATTCCTTGCTCTCTTTGCAGGTTTTTCACAAAAATATTCTGCATAATATTTTGCATGTGAGAACATTGACAGTCCTGTTTCTTATACACCCTAGAACCTCCAAACTAAATCCCCCCTCCCCTTTTTGCTGTCATATGCAAGCAGGGCTTTGGTCACTGATCTGTCCATCCCTCCCACTTTTCTCCAGCCCTGCCCAAACATAATTGGCTTCACACAAACATGGCCCAGTTCATTTATTTATTTCCAGCAGTGTGAGGCAAATAGCTGCTTGTAAGCCTGCAGGGCACACCCTCTCTTCCTCCCTCCCTCCCTCACTCCCTCACTCCCTCACATCATGTCTACTCTGTCTCAGGGCAGGGCTGAAGCCAAACCTTTCTGCTGGCATGTGTGTTCACTATGTAAGGTCCAGGAAGATCATTTACAATGTGCAACCATAAAAATCTCCAAATTGCCTTGATTTCCCATGCAGAAAACATATGATCTTGTCCTGAAAAGATTGACTACTTTGAGGACAATCTCCTCCAAATATCTTTATTGAGCTATAAAAAATAGAGGAATTAAAAACTTTAAAAGAGTAAAGTATTTTTCCAGGGCTTTGAGTAAAATATGCATTACTTATGTGCCTGTCTTAAACATAATAACTCCAGGTTTTTTGTACATTACATTTTTAAATTGTTCAGGACACTGAGTACAAACATTTCATGCAAAAATTAATCAAGACTGAAGAGTTTTTAACAAAGTTTAAAGAAATGAGAGAGAAATAAGGAATCTTAATCTTTCCATAAACAGTAGGGATTTGATTCAGTTTCAGATTTACTATTGTGAAATGTTTGTCTTCTTTAATCTGAACTATGACAGTTGTTGTCTGTTGGGATACGTGAATATTTTGGGGAGGTAAACGTGTGTGACAGGAAGATTTAAGATCTTTGGGAAATATTTTCTCTACATCAGGAAACCAAGAAATACTTCACATAGCAACAGTGAACACCAGCCTCAATTCAGTCTAAGTGAGAAAGTGCATCCATGCTCCAGGATGTGTGTGTGTGTTTTTTTTGTTGATTCATTCATTAATCAAGCTTGTATAAAGGGCAGGGACACCTTGCTTCTTTGACCTGAGGACAGCTGTACTAGGCAACACACACACACACACACACACACACACGTATACGTCAGCAAATGCAACCAGCACATAATAATTCCATACCCTCTCCTCATTATCCATTTCACAGTTTTTCGCCATAATTACATTTTTGCATTTTTTTAAACTTTTAATATAATGTGATCCAACTAGAGTTGATTTTTTAAATATATTTATTGAAAGTAATTTTATGCACATTATTGTTTGGTGGCATTTAAGAGTTTAAAAATCAGTGAGTCTTGTGGTTATGAAAGTGGTATTTTCCACTTCTGAGAGGCCTAATGACCATAATCTCACACCCTGACAGTGATTAATTCCATCATTTCCCTTTGTTTTAATTGGATTGAGGGTCATTTGTTTTGTCCCACTTCATACATCATGCTCTGGGCTCTGTATGTGCGAGCTCACATGCACGCAAATATACAACCAAATTAGTTTGCGTATTTGTCTTCTTAATTAGCAGGACTGCAAGTTGAATGCATTCTTCACAGAATTACATCTGTACTGTGAAAGTCTAATTAAACGTAAGACTTTTTCTCCACCTACAGACTGCTGTGTTTTGATGCTGTGACGATCTTTTTGTCTGCACACCTTTTTTTCTGTTACTTCAGGGCAAGTAACAGCTACAAATAATAGTTTTTTGATCTTCCTCTTTCCTCTAGGCGTATCTCTTTGGCCACACCAAAGCAGCTGTTCAAGGCCTCCAACATGACCCAGCGCTGGCAACGGCGTGAGATATCAAACTTTGAGTACCTCATGTTCCTCAACACCATCTCTGGTGAGAAACATCCCCAGTGTATTTTTATTGCAGAACATTCCACTGTTTTAGAAATCATTGTTTAAAGCTGGTTACCCTTTAATACGATTATGTCAATATACCTTTTCACCGACTCTTTTCCAACTTTCTCCCCTGCCACTAGGTCGTACCTTTAATGACCTAAACCAGTACCCGGTCTTCCCCTGGGTTATCACCAACTACGACTCAGAGGAACTTGACCTCACTCTGCCCAGCAACTTCAGAGATCTGTCCAAGGTAAGACCCTCGAAGCATCCTCCACCTCCTCATCAGATCATCCTTTACCTTTTTTTAACTGGTAATTCTAAAGCGAAGGAGCCAAGTAAAAAAAAGTATTTGTGTGGCGTAGGCAGCTGATTGCTGTCTGATTGCTAAATTACTCAAAACGTTTGCTGTTTGGGTCTTAGAAGATTCAAAATCACTGCAAAGTTTGAAAGCATTATAGTGCAGTACTTTTTTTGTGTATGTGTTAATGACTGTTTTCCAAATCTAAAATATGTTTGCACAATTTGTCAAAATTCAGTGGTTTCATGACTTTGCACATATATGACGTTAGAGTAATGATGTGATAGATTTCCTTAAATCGCAGGTCATTTACATAACCGATGATCTGTTAGATTAGTAGTTGACTTGCGTTAGTTGAGGCAGCACTGAAGTACTCAAAGCAAATTCCCACTGCTCGTGTTCTGTCTTTGTGACTCCCATTGTCTGCTTTAGCTGCCATTATTGAATTCTTTCAAGATTGACCTTCTGAAACTCTCCAGGAAGTGAAGTAATACTCCCTGGTAGCTCCAGGCATCAAGTGATCAGGCTTAAAACAATGAAACATGCCCTAAGGTGCTCTCTTGCTCATAAATACACACTCACGCAGCTGAAACTGCTTAAAAGACTCTCCCCCATGTTGTAAGTAGACATGTAATTATTTACCTGCAGACACTCCCTGTCTTTTCCATTCATACACAGATAGAAAAAAAAAACCTGTAATAAGTCTCCTGATTTCCCCACATTGGCCTGAACATGAGTTGTGCGTAATGCAGTGCTGTGGTGGGAGGACAGAGGATTAGTTTGAGAGTGAGATGATGGAGCGACTGTTTAGCTGCTGAAACAGAAAATGGCTGAATAAATCAGTAATGGAAACATAAGGCATGGGTTAATGGAGCGGTGTTATTTTAGAGGAAAAATGTTTTAGAGTTAAACTTGAGGACATTTGTTTAGGTCTTGGAAGCATCACCATGTTAGTAAAGGTTAAGTGCAGGGACTTACTTACATTCACACAGAATAGATTATATTACAGTCAGGTTGGGGTCAAACCAAAGATAACATTGTTTTTGCTTCATTTCAATCAGATGGTTTAGTGTTGGTGGGTTGTTGAAGTTTTGGATGAGTCATTGAAAAACACCCTCTATAATTTGAAACTTCTTCTTGCTAACTGATAAGATGAACATTGGCATCATGATTATTGAAGCGGTGTAAAAACGTGGTAATATTAGTGCAGCAACATCACAAACCTGGGTTTCTAAATGACATCAATTCTCAGCAGGGCCGGAAGACTCTCTCAATTATTTATAGGTCAAACAAAATATTCTTGGGCGGCCGTGGATATACCTTAATGGCTTTCCCAAGAATTGTCTATGTGTGACAAACACTGCTATTATTTAAAAACTTTGGTTGCAGTAAACTTTTTATTTTATAGTCACAAGCTTGGGAAATAGGCAGCTCCGTTGATGTTGTGCCCTCTTCAGCTCTTTACATGTAATTGTGTGGTTCAAAAGAGATACCTCTATGTTAGACTCATTACCTAGAAAGTTGAGATTTCAGGAGAGTTTTCAGTTGGTAAGTAAGTGGTGAGAAATGCAAATTTACCAGTGGCGGTTAAATTGAAATAATTTTTCTGTTTCAGATTGTTTGTCTGAGCCCTAAGCCAAACATTCATTAGAATAGAATAGAATTATTTTATTGATGGAAAATGCATTAAAATTGGAAACAGAGGAAATAAGGAAAAAATATCATTACTATCTCCACTAGCCATGCACATTTCCTACAAACACGTGGACCATCCACTCACACTTTCGCCCCTCGCAGCTCCCTGTCATACAGATTCAAACACCCCAACAGTCAACACCTTGTCCCTGAGGTTCTGCCCAGTCCTGCTTTCACTTCCCATCTGCTCCTCTGTGCCTCCGTCCTCTGTTTTTATCCCTCCCAGAGTAGCTCTCCCCGCTGCATGAAGCTGCATAATTCCTCTGTTTATCTGGCTTCATGTTGCCCAGTAGGCTGAAATGTGACAGTTGTACTTGCCCCACACACACACACACACACAGACACACACACAGACGTGCAGCCATTCTCTGGTTACTTTGCTTGTTTCTGCCTCCTGCTCTTCTCCTCTGCACTGCCTTGGAGTTTGGACAGCTCAGCGTCTGTGCTCAGTCAACCCTTGCTGCCCCAGGGACCGAGTGAATGAACGGCAGATGAGTGAAAGGAGTAGGAAACAGAAAGACAATCTAAGAGCATAAAAAGGAAGAGGAGGAGAGAGTAAAGAAGAACATCATCATTTGCTGTCCTTGCACTTCTTTTTTCCTCAGCGCAGAAAAGCAGCAGAGCGAGAGGGAGAGAGCTGGGCCAATCTTTATTACATCTGTTTTATTCATGTTGTTGACACGTGTGTGATATCAGTGTATGACCACTGGAGCGTGGCAGACTGCAGTGTCTGGAAAAGGGCAAGCAGCACTACATACCCCCCCCCCCCCCCCCCCAAATCAACCCCCACCCCCACAAACCCCTGCACCTGCAATCATTTGTGTTTCTTTTCGTTTGCATCTGAATGTGTTCTGACCCTCTAGTTTAGTTATCTCTGCCTTTCCACGTCTGAATCATTCCTAACCCCCCCCCCCCGACTTTGTTTCCGCCGTCATTGTTTCACTTTACCCTCTCATTCTGTCTCTCTTTCTCACCATCCACATCTCTCTTATATCCCCCCCTTTTATGTCACGTTGGTGGCTGTCTGTTATAGAAACAGGTCATCTGAGAAGCCTCCGAGTGACATTGAAAAGCCGAATTGCCATGAACGCGTGTGTATGCGTGTCACACACTGTCATCATCCCCAGGACAACAGAGGCCACACAGAATTTATGTCCCCTGCCGCCCGAGCGATTCTGACCCCGGGGACTTTCTTATCATAAACTCTAACCTCAACCTGACATCAAACGCCGACCCCCGAGATAACATTGTAGTCACGATAAGCACACAACCGGAGAGTCTGCAAGTGTTGTAACTCTCTCCCTACCCCATATGTACACCCCAGTTTCTTACACTGTCACGCATGTCCCCACAGAAATGCTATTCTTTAGCTCATATAAACATGTGAGATGATGATAATAAGTCAATGGAGTCTTACAGAGCCTCTCAAACAAAAAAGCATGAGCATTGTTGTTGTTGGTACAGCAGACAATTAAAAGACTTGTTAAGCTCCCTGCCACAGATTAGGTTGTCTACATTTACATAGCAACAGAAACAGTGAGGATTTATTGGCCATTCCCTCTACCAATGTGTTATAACCGACCAGTCACAGCCACATCAGCTAATGGTGTATTGATTTCACCATACGCGCCCCATATGTTTATCCCCCAGGCCAGCCAAACCATTTTCACTGTTTAAATAGGACATTATACATAAACACTCTGCTCAAAAGGCTCTTTTGATTTACGACTCAAAGCCCCAAGTGATGCACAAATCGTCAGTAAGCCATTACGGTTCATCACTGGTGACCCATCATTGTTTTAAAATCAAAGTAACACTCTATAATCTTCTTATAATAGTTCTGAAGAACAAATCCCTGTTTTCCCTTCATGTGCTTTTCCTCTGTGTATACATACACATGTTTAGAGTATTTGTCAAGTATTCAACATGAGGACAATCTGGGGGGCTGCTAAGTTTACATATTGAACCACATACAGGAAGTATTATTTCAAATGAATATTTCTCTGAAACATGCTTGATTTAGAGACTTGACTTTTGAGTATAGTGACTTGTTTTTTTAATATGCCCACATTTATTTGTGTTAATTCAACAGTTTAAGGAAGAAGATAGTCCCGCACACACTTGCTCAAATGCCACATAAAAGGCTTTTTATTAATCACAACGTTTTGATCAGAGGTCTTCTTCAGGTGATCTTTTTTTTTTTTATGGCATCAAGTGTGCGGGCCTATCTTCTTCCTCAGTTTGCTGTTTTTGCACTGCCCTGCACCTACGTGATGTGCGTATAACTACCTCCTTTTTCTAATTCAACATTTTAAAACACATGTTTGATCATAAATTATATCAAACATGTCTCCCTTTAGTTGCAGTAACTGTAAATCTTGTGATATTTTCCTCACAATAGCTTTAATAGCTCCTTAGCACCACCTCCTCCCGTGTTGATGAAGGACTGATTAGAAGTAAATCAAAGAGTAATTCTTTGATGTTTACCTCTTCCAAGCACAGCCACATCTTCTTCATTCTTTCACTAATTCTCTGGTCTAATTAAAACTACGAGATTGGTTCATTTATCTGAGTCCTCATCAGAGCGCGTTTCTTTGCCACGACATATTAGGCCAATCTGCGGCGGGGCAGCAGCAGGCTCTGTGCTCTGATGTACGGCGCCGTCATTGCCGCTGTGTTGTAGCTACTGTAAGCAGAGAGTGCCAGCCCCACAGTAATTTACAGCAGTAAACAATGTCAGGTTCACACAAACCAACACCCCCCCCACACACAGACACACACACACACACACACACACACACACACACACACACACACACACACACACACACTCACACACAATTCTCCCTCTCTCTCTGTCACTGTGGCACTTTCAGTCTTTTTTTTTATTTTATATGCCTCCTCTCCCTTTTCTTTTTTTAATGAGCCTACTGTTATTAGGGCCATAAATCAGACCAATGGGCCTGATGTATAATTCACTCTGTGTACTCACCCACCCCCCAGTGGCCCTGAGGAAGCCCATAGTGTATCACTGTTGTTGCACAGCTACACAGCACGGTGGCATACAGCGTTTTTCTAAGTAAATCTGCACACTATATAAAAAATATTTACAAATAACAGAATAGGTATGCACATAGTAATCCAAAAATAAAAGCAGGTATCCTGTGTTCACTCCTCCCACTACATGCTCACCATCACGCCCCACTACACCCACACAACACTGTAGCCATCGCCCAGATCAATATCAACGCCTGGCCCACGATGAGTCTTGCTGTGACAGGCACCCTATGATATGAAAGAGATCCAATTGATCCACGCCCTACTAGCCCCTCATCCTCAAAAGGCCATCATTCCATTACTATTGATCCACTGTGTGTATGTGTGTTTTTGTGTGTGTGAGGGAGAGAGAGATGAAGGGGAGTTTGAGAGAATGAAGCACGGCCAGCAACAGACCAATAAAAATTGAACCAGCCTGAAAGTGATTTCTATAAATGAGTATTTAAATAATAGCCAAGCAGCACAAGGTTATTGGTTCTGTAGAGTGATGGGAAATTAATGCAACTTAACCATTCTTTCTAGACTATAAATAGGCCTGGTGACCGGTGTATTAGTTACAGATTAATAAAAGTAGAAATTAAAGGAACCTGCAGCCGGGCTATTGATATTCCTAGTAGGCACTCTTTCATTGGAGCACATTAGTTTTCTCTGACAGACTACAGCTGCAGGGGCTCCGTTTCACAGCCTCTAAAAAGCACTCTGTGGGGAAGGATTGATCTCTGTCTGAAGGGAAACATCATCCAATATTCATTTGAGATTGCACAAAGGTTACCAGCAGCTCTTTTGCTTTTGCAAATGTTATTCTGCACAGAGTGGTCCATGGATGTATTCAAGTATACTTTTCCCTTTCCTATTGCACCTTTCTCTTTGTCATTTCTTGTTTTTGTCTCTGTTTTCCATTAAGAGCCACATGCATATGCTATTGAAGATTTTTTTGATTTTTTTTTTTTAACACATCTGATAATATGTTTTAAATCACCTGTCTCCACAGCCCATCGGTGCTCTGAACCCCAAGAGGGCAGCATTCTTCTCAGACCGGTATGAGTCCTGGGAGGACGATCAGGTGCCCAAGTTCCACTATGGCACCCACTACTCCACCTCTAGCTTCACTCTGATGTGGCTCCTGCGTATGGTAAGTGCAATGAATAATTAACAACACAACGCTTCACAATAACTTTATATTTAGAATCGTGTGCAACATAGTTGATCTTTACTTTTATTACAGGGATGTAAAGAACAAAAACTATTTGAATCCAAATGATTAAATGCATGTATATGGGTTTGCATTAAAATTCATCATACGCTCATAAGTAAGATATGAAACAGGCTACACTTTCACTGAGCTTTAAATTTATAGTATGCACAGCAGTATGCAACTTCAACTGAATTACCAAACACTGTTATTGTTTTCCCCATTGTTACTCATTAATTTTTAATCAGGCATCCGCCTCAAAGAAACCTATAAACCTGAAATTACGAGTCTATATATGTATGTTGAATATTGCATCTCATAGTATCTTCTTTTATTATTGCATATAGTCTGCATGACACTGTCTTGTTGCCATACAAATAAAGAACAGAAAAAGTGCAGTGAAATGTTTGCCTTGAAAAACGATAAGCTAACCAAAAGCGTACAATCATTAAAGAATACCTAGTGTTTTCTGTGATTTATTTGTAGTTTTTTTAAGAGTATCTGCAGTGTGCACTGTGCACCGGATTGCTCTCTTATGGTACCTTTGTTGAATGGATGCCATCAATCTTTCCATACTGCACTCGAGGGAGAGGAGGGTTACTAAGTTTCTCCAATGTGCAGTTTTCTCCTGTTATTGTCCCAGTAGCTCACTGTCTCACTGAGTCCCAGTAGAGTTACCTCATTGATCCTTGCACATCATTAGCCGGCTTATTCTAAAGCCACTTTACCAGAAACCCCCACTTAAATATCAAACGTAACATCTGAGACTAACTGAAAACTGTGTCTGCAGTAAACATGTTGGGACTATTTCTGTTTGTTTCGTGTTTATTTATGAGATTTTACATTTCACTTAATCCAGTTGTGTTGTTTTAACTGCATACAGAGATGCAATGTGGTTAACCTCACTTTCACTTTTTTTTTTTTTAAACAAATGAGGCTTACGTCATTCCAGCCTGAACTTAATTAGCCGTCTACTGTAGTAGTTTGAAGCTGTGGCCAAGCATATTGTGTCCATGTCACTTGGGAGCCATAGCACCAGAGAGACAGCTATTGATCCAACCTAACAAGATTATACATGATTAGAAATGCATCAGTAGCACGAGTGTATTGGCTTTACAAGCTCACTGGGATTATTGTTATTTCACTTGTTCATTTTGGATGCCAGTGTCTTTGAGGGTGTGTAAGTAAGGGTAGATTTTGCATAAAATCTATTGACCTGGTGCTTTATTGAGCTTCAAGCTATAGAAGCTTCATCGTGTGTTTTTATTGCACAACAAGGTATTCTATTTTCAAATTTACAAGAGATGGTGCCAATTAAAACATTAAGAGCTTTTCTTTTCTTATCAACAGGAACCTTTCACCACGTTTTTCCTCAACTTCCAAGGAGGGAAGTTTGATCATGCTGACCGCACCTTCTCCTCAGTGTCCCGCGCTTGGAGGAATTGCCAGAGAGACACCTCTGATGTGAAGGTAGTGTATTCTTGATTCACACTCTCAGATATGGAAGTACTTTCCCCCCCCAAAAAAAAGTCCTTTCCCTTTTAAGAAGGTGGAGGTAAGAAGTTACAAGAGATAAAGGACAGAGCACTACAGGAGAATAAATCCCCATCCAGTATCCTTCCAGACAAAGAAGAAAAGGTTTCAAAAGAGTAATGTTCAGTCACTACCAATCATTGTCCTGATGGAATGAAAGCTTCCTGCTCTTCTGATCAAAGCGTTAGACTAATCCTCATCTGTTCCAGCCGTCTGTCTCAGATCCAGCCAGCTATAACCTGGACTTGAATCCCTGCCCATTGAGCCCCCCGAACTCTACTGAGCTGTTGGATCTGCCCTGAAACAGCGCAGGTCATTCTCATACTGAGGGCCCTCGATCCCCCCAGAGCACACTTTAACTGCTCTCCTAAAACATTTACGACTACAGTCAGACATTCTCTGTCAAAGCCGGGTTTTGCTTGGTCTCCTGGCACTGGGTCACTGGACGGGGGAACAGCGGTGGTGTTGGGGGTTTTGACGCCTGATTGCACTTACGACCACCACCACCACCCCCCCTCACATCCCACCGATAAAACATATGGATTGTGTTACTTCGTTGCAGGCCGATGCTTGATTACGAAAGCCCAACAAGAGCCCTCGTTTGCTCTCTCAGTCTAGACCTGTCAGTGTGGATCAAACTGTGAGAGCTCAGCCTCGGATCAAAATAAAGGAAAAATCTGGACCACATCACTTGGTTCTCTTGTTCAGTTTGGGTTTTTAGCATAAAATGAATAAAAGGCCGTCGACTTCATCCACTTGGACGCACATATTCATGTTTTAGGCAAAAGAGGAATTAGAGAGGAGATGTATCAATTAGGTATGCTAAGTACACCATTTAGCTTTTGCACTGGAGCCATTGATAGCAGCCTTCTGTCCCTGCCAGAGGGCAAAAAGCCCCAGCGTTTTCTTACCCCACTGCTAAAGAACGGGTGATAATAGGTTACAACACCCAGATTCAATGTGTCTCTAGCCTGGGTGACGCTAGCATGACCTCCAATCCCCAATCCCCTGACCCCTTGCCTAAGCCCAAAGGCATCAGAGGGGGAAAGGGGCGAGTGGAGGGGTTAGAAGTAGCAACAGTGGAAGTGTAGCCGAGGAGCCCAGAGGCCAGAGCCCCCTCCAGTGACCCATGACAGGACAGGATTGGGGATCAGAGGGGCTGGCCTCTGACCAGGCCGGAGCAAAGGGGCCACTGCACATAATGGTCCACGCAAGGCAGGCATGAGTGTTGGGGAGCAAAGCCCTCAAGGTTTTGTTAATGTGTTTCTGCATGTGTGTGTGTGTTTTTTTTAGTGTGTGTGTGTGTGTGTGTGTGTGTGTGTGTCAGTGCGTGCGTATATCCTGCCACCTCCAGCTCAAATTTACAGCAGGCTGCAGCTAGTGAACCTGGGTGAGCCGGAGGACTCGTTAAGGGGTCGAGCTTTAGTTTGAGGTCAGGTTTTGTGGAGTTTGGAGATTTCAGAAGTGAGGAAGTGTCGTGTTGTTTTAAACCTGTGTGTTTGCTTGCTCATTTGATTGCATGTTTGCACCCCGTTGATGAGAGGTGGAGTCCATTGTACCGCTAGTCTCTAACAAGGGCCGTTGCATTACTTGGCTATTTGTATTTTTGGAGATCACATATCATTTCATCAACCTAATGAAACAAAAACACAACAACTACAAAAGAATCATCTAAACCTGCCACTGTTTGTCTCTGATGTCAGATCATCAACATGTTAACATCTTTCTGTCCTTACCAGTACCAGTCAGCATTTGAACCACACAGACAGCAGAGCTAACAACAAATCCCTAAAATCTACAAGTCAACATTTTGAAACTAGTTTCTGATTAATCCTTAAAATTCTTACATCGTCAAGTGTTGAGAAAAATGATTTTATTTTGCCCGTACACAAATAACTCCACTGCAGTTAAGAATAAGCTTTATCAAAGTACATTTCACAGTAAACATTTTTCTTCAGAAAACCCATTTCATGCTTTTTTAAAAAAAACTATTTACATTAAGCAGCCAAGAATTGAGTCATCCTGGCCCATCCTTTTGTCGTCTAATCAGCCAAACAAAACAATACCGTTATAGTTTAAGCCTGGAGTAGCACTATAGATTTATTCTGCATGTTTTAAAAGTCAAACTCACTATCAATAACTTGTCAATCGTTGTGGCATGTTCTGCTTCGTTAAGAAAGTCGAATGGTTAAGGATATGGGATCTCCTGTCATAACTATAATTGTCTCACTATCTGCCAATTTGAATAGACTTTGTGTTCTTTGAGACTGCCAAAACAAAATCAACATAGTAAGGAAAGGATTTGGCTGACTGGGTCTTTTTGCTGTTTTGGATGAGAGAAGCTCGCGGACAAAACTAAGGATACAGACAAAGCCTATAACTACGTCTCAGTAGAGAAAAACACTAGAGCTGCGTGAACCTGCAGAGGTTTTTAAACATCAATGAAAGTTCAGCAATCAGAAATTATATTCACATAAATAATTTACATTAGAAGACTTGAGAAACTAGCAGATTTAAACAGGGAATTCTACCCTTTTTATTGGTCTGTTGGAGCTTTTTGCAAGTCTGCTGTAGTCTCATATTAGCCTTCTTCATGAGGCATTATCATCATACCTGTTTTGAAAATGTTTTTTTTACATATCTGTGTTAGGGGAATAAATGTATTTCTGTGCTGTACCCCTGCAGGAGCTGATTCCGGAGTTCTACTACCTCCCAGAGATGTTTGTTAACTCCAACAGCTACAACCTGGGAGTGATGGAGGACGGCACCGGGGTCTCTGATGTGGAGCTGCCACCTTGGGCCAAGAGCCCAGAGGAGTTTGTACGCATCAATCGCCTGGTAAGAACACATAGCCTCACACATGTCAGTACAGCAGCTCTTGCAGGAAAAAAGAATAACGAGCAGGATGATCTCAGCCACATTCCTTCCCTGATATTGGGAGTTAAACCACTTATCCACTTAATTAAAACACGTTAAATTTCTGAAGAATTTCTCGAGATTGGCCTTTTTGATAAAAATGTTTAGTAACAACAAGTTGCTGGAACACATTGCAAACACTTGTCCGCCTATGCCTCATGTCCCATTACTCAGACCAACTGAATCCTTGCCAGAGGTTTCTGTTGGTCCTATTTTAGCTGGAAATGCTAATTCAAAGAGACAGTGTTATTTCCTGTTCGTCTCACACTTCTTCCTGTTACCTGAGCCGCCCGCTCCTCCGACATGTCCCGGTTTCTCCGATTGCTGCGTTGCCATAGTGATCCAACATCACCTATCGTCCTTAACATCTCTCTTTCTACTCCTGTTATGTCGACACACATCTGGAGTGTGTTCCTGTGCGTGTGTGTGTGTGTGTGTGTGTGTTTTTGTGCAGAGAGACGATGCAGTGTCCTGTTTCTGATCTCTCCTTCCTGCCTGCTCGGGCCAAATAAGAAATATTGTGTGTTTATGCATGTCCGATGTTGTCAGACGTGCTGTCATACTTTCATTTTAAATGCTCTCTTCTTTTACGCACGCACACACACACACACACACACACACACACACACACACACACACACACACACACACACACACACACACACACACATATATACACACACACACACACACCCATACACACACGCACACACAGACATGGCTGTAAAACTTAGGTACCTTTTTAGATCAGATTACCTTGGTCTGCTCAAGAAGGTCATAAAGAAAAGATAGATTTACCATTTCTGTTGTTTGAACTTTTGGTCTTCAATTTCAAAAACTTTTTAACTTTATTCAGAATCTTACTGATAATCAAAGGACAATATATCATTGTAAATAAAATGTGTAATAATATCTTTAAAAAATGGACTGAAATATAAGAAAAAATCAATGTATAAAATGTGAAATACAACTTTTTTTTCATTATATTTGCATTGCATCCTGGTCTGTTGGATTTAAAGTCTGTCCAGGGACCTCATTCCATTTCAGTGAAATGTTTGGGGGGGACAACAGATGTAGCTTCCTGTTTAATGTGTGCCCGCAGTAATGATGGGTGCTGATGAGGCTGGGTGTGCTGTGTGACCTGTGTAGTCTTGTGTTGGGGTGTGTTAACCAGAATGCTGATATGACCAGGCCCCTATCATTAATCACACACTTCTCTCACTTTGGTTGTCAACATAGTCTAAGCCAAGGTGGACTGCTCTCCTGAATAAGTCTTGTTCTATGAATAGAAATAGAATACACTTACCTCTTAAATTTTCCATAATTTAAACATGGTCAATGTATACGGTACAATTCTGACAACTCTCAACACAACATTGTTTGCCAATGTTCTTTGTGCTCCTGTGAGAATAAAGCTGCCTTTCATTGCCAGCCTCATCTACCTCTGCTCCCTCAATTTCCTCAGGTCCGTTTTCTTTGTGCCCAATTTTGCACTGCAAAGGCTATTTAGTTTGTACACACAGTTTCCCACTTGTAACTGCTTTCAGGCTGGTACATTTTCAGTCTCTGGAGTCTCTTTCTCTACTGTGTCCAAAAAAGATGTGTTGACCTCAGGAGTCAGGTGCAGAGGAAGCACGCTTAGTTTAAAAAGGAGCTTTCTGAAGTGTTTGAAGGGGACTGTGAATATCTACCTGATTACCACCGACTGTAGAAATATACTAATCCATAACGCTCAAGTGTTAGTAGTAAAATCATTCTATAGCATCAGAATGGTCCTTTTTGGCAAAATAATGCCTTCATATGTCAACGAAGACATCATGACACTTTTAATTTAATGGTAATTTGTCAGGCAATCACAGATTATGTCATTAAGGTGTTTTGATCAGTAAGCTACATTTCTTCCTTGTTTCTTTGGTAATTTTTACCACCAGACCCACAGGGTTGCAAATCGTATTCAAACAGAATCAGAGAGACCGAGTAAAGGAGGATGGACTGTAAGAATAAAAGAGAGAATTGTTTGAGGACCTCGAGGTAGAGGGAGGCATGTGTGGGTGGACAGGTCTCTGGTCATGACAGATAGCTGGCATTAGAGGGTGTCAGCTGGCAACTGTGGTACTGTTGGGAGAGAGATGAGCGTGGTGGAGAGGAGCAAGGAAGAGTGAAAGAGTTAATGGGCTGTTTGGCTCTCTTTAGCTTGTCTGCTGCTAATGGCCTCGCAACACAAGGATAGACAGCAGGAGAGAACACGCAAACACATGCAAATGCACACACGCATACAGACACACACACACGCCTGCTGTCTCCACTCTGGTTATGAGCCTGAGATGATTAACAGCTAATTAGAGCCCAATCTGGAAAGGCCATTAAAATCCTCTCACAGTAAAGGATTGTGCTGCTGTGCAAAACGGCAGCTTGTTTTTTTTTCTTGTTGTGAGTGAGAGTTGCATGGTTGGTAATGATGAAAAAAAAAAAAAGAAAATACAGCAGAAGTTATAAACATTACATCAAACTGTAGCCTGGTTTGTGTTGCTTTGCTGTTGGAAGTGTCATAGTTCATCACTAATGTTTAGTAAAATATGTGTTGCATGGAAACACATTATTGCAAGTGAGCGCCTGCACAGATTGTTGTTTAACCTCTTGGCTTACACAACACTGAAGGATGAAATGAAAAACGGCCAGTTTGACATGTTGTGGAAAGGTTTGATTTTTTTTTTTTGTCAGACTCACTGGAGTCGAGCACCGCAGTGTCAAGTCAAGCACACACCTTCGCCATACTGAAGTGCCTACAGTACACTTAAATGCTTGCTTGTAAAGACACACTCCCTTTCTCTTTGTCCACACACACACATACATGCAGAGACAGCGGGATTTGGAGGCGGCATGCCACAGAGATCAGGGGCTGCTTGTTGTTTTTACCAGGAGGTCGAAGGAGAGGTTAAGAACTTGATCCCTCCTCCAGCAGATAACTACATGTCTCTGGGCACTGTCAGCCTCCCTGACATTCCATTTATATATGACCACATCTCACTTCTCAGGTCTGTCAACCATTAGAGCTATAGCAGGTGATCCTGTGTATATGCTTGTGTATATGCTTGTGTAAGTCTTGCGTGTGTGTATACGTGTTGCACATCAGTGTTTACCTGCGCTGTCATCTGTCCTGGCATCACTGGAGCTGCTGATATTGGGCCATGTTAAACATATTCTGTTAAATTAGGTATCTACTACAGTGGAAAGTCTTATAATGGACTGAATCAAGATTTCAGAGACCTTAAACTTTAAAGCAACAGGCAAGTTTCCCCCAAATGACATGGATAAAACTGTACGCCATGGTTGTGGTATCTATACTCTGCCATTTGAATTGTGGAATATATTACCAAGACATTATTAGGCAAACCTATGTGGATGCTTAGCACCTTGTTGGTTCAGCTTCTTCCAAAAGTTTGTGTATTCCTTTCCGAGTTCCCTGGTATCATTTTATCACACACACAAGTATTTAAAAGGCAAAGACAATTTAAAGACTACATCGCCATAATGATGGATATAGCCACCATGATGAAACCAATGCATTTTTGAGGTAAGTGTTTGGGAATGTATCTGTCACTCTATCGTCTTGGAACCAGAATAGACCATATTTTGATTTGGGGGGATAGGCATTGTTACTTCTCTTTCCAGCTTGATAGGCCAAAATGGTTCTTACCTGTTCAGTGACATAAAGCTTACACCCTATGACCCACCCACCTCAAGCCATGCTTTACCAAAGAGTGAACTGTAAATTGGACCACCATTTACAAAATGAACATCATGTTGTATTGGAGAAGACTTGAGCTTGTGATTGAAACCATTAGCTCCTCACAAATAAAAAGGCTTCCAACCAAATAATCAGCTGACTAGTAAGGCAATTGTCTGGTTTTCAATTGGCAACTTTTTTTTGCATTTGAGTAATTCTGTGATGGTTGTTATAGAAAATGCAGATTTGAGGCACATCTGCATTGGTTTCATTTTTTAAACCAGGGACTAGTTTCACTCGTATATGCAGCATATTGTCAAGTCACATCTGACAAATAAGGACAGCTCGTTTACTTTAATACAAAAGCTGGCTTGCTATCACTCGAACCCATTTGAACCCTACAGGGCCCATTTGCTGCTCTGTAGTTCTCATGTTTGGTTCCTTTCAGTCATCTGTGCTCTTGCAGTGCCGCTGACAGACCTGCACACCACACACATGGGAGAAACGGGCAGCACATTACTTTGGCCCTTTTCCCCTTATAAAGCATCAGCTCAATCAAAGCAGTGACAGATACATCAGCTAAACTGCCCTCAGAACGAGTGAGATATTTTTTCTCTTGTTCTATGGGTAAAGTCAACAGAGTGATAGGTCAGAAGTTGATACTGAGAGGGCTGGACAGAGGTCACCAGCACAAGCAGTTAGCCCTCACTGTACGTTCCCATTCCCAGCAACTCTCTGGGTATAGATGTATGACCAAAGTATTCCCTCTTAAAATTAATAAGATTGTCTATTCAGTGTTTTCCTTTAACGTAGCATATTCCTCTTGCTACTTTGGGAAAGTACCTTGTATGAAACCAATAGGAGATTACACAGTGAAAGTTGTGTAAGCACCTGTATATTGGAATGAACTAGATTACAAATTTGCCAAACTGGACTAGAGTCAGAACCTCTTTCTCTAATCAATCAAATCACGACTTTATCTTAACCATTCCTTATAAAATTAAAGAAGAGGATGTACTTAAGCGTACCAATTTCCCTTAACAATGATTTAGCAATCGGCCGATTTCCATCATCAGTAATTCAGAACTCTAGAGCTTTAAACCATTTAAGATGACGACCATGGTTGGCATAAGCGGGAAGCAGTAAGTTAGCCCATAGGGATTTGGCTTGGGAACCAGAGGGTTTAAGTCCTGGT